AGTAATTGAGTTAGGTCGGTGAAACCTCCGACCTGCCACTACTACAGTTTAATCTCCGATAAATTCAGGAAGTCATCTAACCAATCCTGGCACAGTAGGATGAATCGTAGGGTAACCAAGGCCTTATGGCCGAGGTTGAATGCCAAGGCAACCAGTATACTATTAGGGTTGGACGGGAGGAGTATTAGAATTCTGGTAGAAGTGATTGAATTGAGAATTGAGTCTTTAACACACAGGGCTTGTGTGGGTTGTGTGAGGACGAAGAGGAACTAGAGACACTAGAACATATTTTGTGCGATTACCCTGGTGCACAAAGTCTAAGGCGAAAATGGGTAGGAGAAACATTTCATGATGATTTAGGAGATGTAGCTAGTGGTGTTGTCAGGGTGGAGGATTTGCTATTTAGGCGTCGAACCTCGTAGTATTTCCTTCCAATACTATCAGCATTCTTTCTCTGTTATGATGGGAGTTCATTCATTTCACACTTATCCCTCCGAATTTTTGTATCTTCTTTCTGTTTATTTTTTGTTACTTCTTAGAAGGCATCACAATGGATCCTCTTGGGTCTTCGAGTGGATTTATAGCTTTTTGGTATACAAACCTTCTAAACTAAATTAACTAATCTAATAGAACCCGCACAGCAAGCTAATCGGAGAAAATTTCCGAAACAGTACCCGTAGCAATTCTTAAACCGACAGTGTAGATTGAGATCGTGTCGTCCCGAAAGACGACTTTCTCTTGAAGGTATTCTGTTTCCGAAATTTGTGCTGGCTAAAATTCTGTCATGACCTATATATATTTAAGAGCAACTGAGTTTAAGTCGATTGATAATAAATATGTACAAAACGATATCTTAATCGTTAACTTCCAGAAATTATTCTGAAAATGTTTCCTAATTGAAAATTTAACCCTTTCGCCCTTATAAAAAGAAACCAGTAGCGTAACAAAGATTGTTTCTCCCTGATTTGATTCAATGGATTGTCGTTAGAAATTAACAGGCCCACTAACGACATTGTTGTGCCTGCATTTTTATTTAACAAATCTACGACTACAACAATAATAAAACATACATAAGCTGTTAACGAGTAAATTTATTATTTTGTTTTTTATTCATTACTTGTATCTATATATTTTGTTATATACGCTGATGATTTCTGCAGGTATTACGCATAATTGAAATTTATGCCATGGCCAACCAAGCATTCATCGATTTTCAAATGACATTTTGTTTGTTACAGTTTCCTTTATTGCGGGGACAGAGGGACGGACGTCCCATATGAACGTGTGTACGTTTGCAGCATAATGCAATCAACGTGTGACTTCTAGTGGTAATGATAGAAAGAAGTGTATATGTAGACAATATATTGTATGTGTTAGTAAATTAACAAAGTTACTGCAACAATTGTAGCATAAAATTCTTATGTTGCCTACATGTTGTTGCTCGACTTTAATGTCATTTTAATTACACTTGTACTTGTATTACTACTGACTGTTCTTTATATCGTAGTCTCTTTATATGGGAGTTTTTTTGTTTGTTGTGGGATGCCATAAATAAGTTCATATTGTTTTGTATAAGTACCCGGTAATTAAACTGAAACATGTACCAAAATACATAATTATGAATACAATAAATGCTTGTTAAGGGAGTACCCCCTTCATTTCTTTTTGTCTTCATATGAGGGGCCTCCTCCCATTCGAGCGTAAGTTATGGCTGCATAATATTTCAATATACGAGTTTATGTTGGGAATTTTAAATATATATTTGAGTATTTGGGTTTTTATAGTAAATTTATTTTGAACTTCAATATTTTGTATTTCAAACGCATTTATTTGTCTGCTCCTAATTAATCAATTTGAGTGCTTAGTTTTGGTTAAATTTTCTTTAAAATAAAGGATTTGTTGAACATTTTTATGAAAACAAACATTAACTTTTAATGATTATGAAGATTAATTATTTAATTTGAAACATTAATTATATAGAATGCATTGGAAAATGTATATTAGTAACTAAATAATAACACAGGCCTACAAAAAAGTCTAAACAAAATATCAATTTTAAAGGGATGAGCTCTACTGAATTAGGCTTCTCTATCGCATAAGAATATGGATTTCTTTATCACATCGGGATATAGTGTCTTAACAGCGCGAAGTCATCTTAATCTATAAAGTTTGATACATATATCATCTGAACGTCCAATCTGTCGACTTTAAAATAAACTTTGTTATATCCTCATCTTTCTTCGAGATATCTTAACTTAGAATTTCAAAAACTTGATATGTTGGATAACTTCCGTGGCCAGATTCAGATTCATTTCAGCTCAATCATATAAAAAAGTTTGTTGACCTGTGTAATTATTATTCGGGGAGTCTCTTGAATCACCGTCTCCCGCTCTTCGGTCTTGATTCCTCCGGTTCCTCAACGTTACTTGTAGTAGCTAATGCCACATTGGATACGGTCTTGTTGTAACAGTTATTCCACCTTCCCCATTTTAAAAATGACAGTTTTAGAGGCGATATAAGTCCAGCCATTGTTATTGGCAACACTGGCCTTGCAGTTCTTTCTGGACGATACCTATCATAAGAAAAGTGCCCTCAAGTACCTCCAGTTCATCATTTGGGCTCTAGGAATTTCTAATATGCGCTCATTAGCTAATTTTCTGCCCAATCCCTTTATATAGACAGAGAACTTTAAGATCACGGAAAGATTCCACTTTTTGACATGTACGAGCTTAGAGCCTTAACATGGAGAAGGGATACTTCCCACTTAGATCTTTAGGGTGCCAACACATTGATGATTTGATCTTGATTGATTGTTTGATCTTAGAAGCTATTGCATGGTCCTATTGTGAACAAGTTCTTCTTCCTTACTGAGCTGGTCTATTGAGATTTTGCCTGTCGGATTATCGGCATCATATACTCTATTAGCAACTTTATTTACTGTCTTGCCTCTTTTTACACCCACCATCAAAAAAGATGGGCGGTATCGAAATATTGGTCATGGACACACAAAAGTATATATATTCTTGATACTTATTAAATTCTAAGATGATATAGCCATGTCCGTCCGTCTGTCTGTCTGTTGATAGCACGATAGAGTCCGAACGGAATGAGTTACAGATAATTTCTCTAACTCATTCCGTCCGTTCAATTGGTATTGAAAATGGGCAATATCGGTTCACGTATTCAGATTGCCTCCATACAAGTGGACCCCCAAAAAACAGCTTTAACGGGCACATCTGTTTAAAAAGTACGAGTATAGCGATGAAATTCGACACAAATAAGTTTAATATGAGCCAAAATCCTCTCTACCAAATTTTATGTGGATCGGTCCATAATTGACCCTAACTCCCATATAAGGTTCCCTTCAGATAATTACTTTAACGTTCATTACTGGCTTAAAAGTACGAGTATAGAGATGAAATATGACATAAGTTTTTTACGATCCAAAACCTAAGAAATTTTTATAGGAACATAAATCTTCCTTCGACATACGGTTTGATGGTGGGTATATGAGATTCTGCACAGCCGAATATAATACTCACGCTTGTTCCTCGTCTTTTGTGTCTTCTTTTGAGGCGCCATCACCTTCGAAGTTGATTTCCACTACGTCCTGGTCTCTGGAATATCTTGCCTGGTTTTGTCACCCTTACCTGCAGGATTCTGGATTGAGTTTCTTTTGATAGATGCATGGCTTGAGAGAGAATCCGATGTATCCTTCAAAAGCTTAGGTATGCTATCGATCCTCCATTTCACCATTCGCTCGACTTCTTATGAGAATACGGAGAGTTGTCTTTAGCTTCTCGGGAGATCTGATTCCCTTTGTTTTAGATATTAAAAGAGAATCCGAAGTATCCTTCAGATTGTCTTTTTTTGGTGATACATAGCTTAGGTATGCTCACTCGCTCACCCCTTTCCTCATACGATGGTCTTTCAGCATACGATTCAGTTGTATTTAAAGCCGGAGGTTCCTTAGAGCTCTCTCCGAGTACATCCTTCTCTTTCACCACTACATTTATGCCAATGACATGCTGCACACTTGACACAACTCAGTAGTGGTGTGTAAAAATGTTATTTGAACAAAAATTCAAAATATCGGTTCATGATTGATCCAAGATGTGCCTGGTTTAGATTAGCATTGTTGTTTAAATTGTGAGGTCTAGATCCAGTTTGCACGCTCAAAAACCATGTACTAATTTGATAATCTGAAGTATCAAGAATGGTATTTCCCATACTTGACAACATTTTCACATATTTACAATATAACTAAAGATAAAATCAAATCAAACATTTTGCCGACTCTTATAATTCTCAAATTCCACTTCCGTTTATGACACAAAAATAACTATATATAAAATCCATAAAATAACACTTTAAAATTTGTAACACTTGTCAAATGTATTTTTTTTTTTTAATAAAATAATAAATAACCGTAAAATATTCTTTGATATATAACGACTTGAAGATAAACATTTAAAAGATCTCTTAAGCAGTAATAAAAATAAATTTAGTTAATAAAACTTTTGTAAAGCTGTGATCACACTTATCAAATAATTGGCGGAAACAGTTAGTATTTTAATATATTATCGAATTTTCGATGATTTTCAAAATGTGTTTACATTTTGCCGTCAAATATTTAACAAGTGTGAACTTACTTTAAGTTTAACATAACAATTTAAATAAAATTTGTTAATATTCTTTAAGAATACCGAGTGCATTAACTTTTTCGTCCAATTTTATTGCCTAACATTTACCTTTGAATTTAGTTTTGGTTTTTTTCTCTTGTTTTTGTAAAAGTAAATGTTTTTTCAATTTCAATAATGAGGAAGTTGTTCTGTAATGATTTTTTTATGACTTTTGCGTTAATTTAGAAATTTTATTGTAAACAATTTGTTGTCTAAGTTCCCTAAACAATTCTATAAGATTCCAGACGATATTTTTAGTTTTAAGAAATACAAGTATTAAACTTAAAATAATTTCCTTATTATTTGGTTTCGTTTATTTACAGTTGGTTTTCCGATTTTATGTTTCTTTTTATGGGGCGATTCATATAAACGCGGTTTCTTCTGTGATGATGAATCTTTGATGCATCCCTTCAAAGAGTCAACGGTTAAAAGTTGGATGTTGTATATTATTGGTCTGGTGCTGCCAATTGGTGTGGTAAGTTAAATTTTTACAGCTTTTTAATAATTTTTTTTGAAAATTTTAAATTTTGAATTCAAACAGTTTGGAAAATAAACTAGATAATTTCCCTTTGAAGTGTGCCATTAATGGAACCGTAATTGTTCTTTTCCTAAAGTTTATACCACAGCTGCCTGGTTTTTTAATTGAAAAATCTAATTTAAATTGAAAGTCATACGACATTTGTGTTACAATTAGGACTCGTTTTAAGTGAAATTAAACATAAAAATGTTGCCATAAAATAATAAAAATGTCCTGCTTCCATAAAAAAAATTTTAATTAAAATATTAAAAAAACGTTCATTATCTAATCGCTAAATACAGCTGCTAGCTGCTTGTTTAACAAACCATTAAATGACAAGCTGAAATTTAAAATGCACTCAATGCAACGAATACAAACTACACCCCAAGAATTAATGTTAGTTAATGTTTACCTAACAGTACATACACATGTTATAATGGTAATAAAAATACAACAATTGTCTCGATCGTTTACTTTCTCTTTATTTTGACTTTGCTGTTGGAGCATTAGAAGTATTTGGAATCATGCAATATGTCTGGATCGAACTGGGAATTTGTTGATTTGTTTTTTTGTTTACATTATAAGACATGACCTTTCCAATTCCAAGTCGAGTACAATATGTGTACGTGTGTTTATATTTTTTTGAACCATCACTACTTACTTACTCACTAAGGATGGTCTGTCATTAAGGCACAACCAAAAACAACTGTAGACTGATTGAAGTTATGAATGACGGAGTGAGTGAATAAGTGGGTGAGTGATACTTGAAATGTACTTTATTGATCACAAGAGGATTTAAATTTAAACACAAAAAGAGTATCGACATTATAAGTGATGACACATGCCACGCAGCATCTGAAATTAAAAATAAAGTTTGATGGTATAAAGATCGTTTGGTGTAATGCCCTACACTAGGCATTGCAGTATTTGAATTAAAAATAAAGCTAAAAAGTGTAAATATCGGTCGGTGTAATGCCCTACACGAAACGGGTTTTAATCTGGGTGCTTGATATAGTCTAAAGGCCTACAGGCCTTGCTTCTAAAACATTTGAGTTAGTAAAACATGTGGCACGATCTTTGCAATATTATCTGTCATTTAGAAACAGTTATTATGTGTGAATCATCAATATCTTCTTTTGGAACGTGGACCAAAAAGCAATTATTAAAGGACCTCGTAGACATTACTCATTTATTTCCCATTTTAACTTGGTTAGGAATCTAGGCAAAACTTCTTCAGATTTTCGCCAAAACACAACATATATCCGGTTAGAAAAATCGCCATCGTCTGAGATCTTTCATATTAGGAAAGTACCCCTGAAACTTAGTCTACAGCAGAAGTAGAAGGACTTCGATCATATTCTCTAGCAAAAGTGTTCCTGGAATCAGCTGGAAGTCTCAGCGCCAGAATCAGATGCGAAAGCCTAATCGGTTTATTTATCTTAAAAGTAAAATGATGACTGTAACCGAAGCAATTAAGAGAAATCGATCTTTCCTTTGAACCTTTGTTGACGAACTTTAACACGAAAAACCGGGTTAAATTTGGAACTTATACACATCGATCTGTAAAATCTAACAGAAACATCGCGCCTAACTCAGTTATGTAAAGTTTTTGAGACCCACAACTTATGATCTGAAATACTCACGTAAACCAACTGCCTGAGGTAAAACACCTGGCGTGGGTTTCTTGCTGTTCAATCAATTGCAATCTCGGGAAAAAGAGGTGCTACTAATACCTCTAGTTTGCAGGGACTATAAACTGGTAACGATTAAATGTATCCCCGGTGAGATGGCAATCCTGGGAAAAAGCTGTGCTGGTTAATTGATTGAGGTTCCTTCGGAATCCACGTAGTGTAGTTTAAACCCAAATTCGCGGGGAGAGTATGTTGTTTTAAGGACTGCTATATCCTATACCTAATGGGTTGTATAATTCCCTCTACAAATGACACAGGTCTTTGTTCATTGTAGCATATGCTGGATTCCTGAACCCGATCTGTATTTCATACCGGTGGGGCGCCTATAAATGCTGGGGAATTGTCTGGTTAGCGTTTAGAAGTTGCCTATCATTTCGTAGCGAGATCTTTATAATCATGGAAATGGAATTAATGCCAAAATTGGTGAAATATCCGGAAAGTATCCATAAATTGGAGATTAGTACTGATTTAGTATGCCTTTTCACGCTTCGGGGAAGTTCTCGGTGCTGTTGTCATCTCAACAGGATATATTGAGCCTAATTGTCGGGGCAATTATTGGGTTCAGTTGCCTTTGGAAATTCCTACATTCTTCGTCACATAGATCAGTTCATATAGAGGGATTCTGATCCACTATTTTGGATATTGCAGGGCTTCGTGATGTGGTTGTATGACTAATGGTTGTGAATACCATCTGATCGGATCGCAAGAGGATGAGGACGCTAAGGCGTTGCCCATGACTATGCATATACTTCTTGGTCCATCTCGGCGTTTTTTCAGCAAGTGCGATGTTGAAATTTTCGTTAACCCCTCTCTTTCGATTCAGCATGTCGGGGTAGCTTGCTACCTGTCTTTCCGCAACGTGATTACTTGGCAAGAGATTATATAACTCGTGTACTTAAGCCAAGTGCACGTAAACTGTACCGGACATTCCATATACGAGAATCGCCACCTGAGTATAAGATATACAATGGGGCGGGGGTGTGTCGTCAAGGAAGCTCACCCAGTGGTTGAAAAAGACCATGAAATAAAGCCATCAAGGCAGAAAGAAGAATAGAATAGAATAGTATAGCCTTTTTAAGGGCGCAATAATATTCTACAAGCGCGGTAATTTCCTTGTGGGGATGGATGATTTTTTATGTATCTAGTGACGTTGGCGGAGAGTTATTAATACGTGTGAATCTATACTGGAGCATGGTTATTACCGGACCAAGTTACTCAAAACCAAGTGGCGCAATTCCTTAGAGAATCCACCATAGCTAAGAGGCTGGATCTAACATATTCAACGAGACTGCCTTAGAACATATAGGACTGATTAACCAATGAAAGCTGAAGTATAATTGATGAGAGAGAGAAGATCTAAACGGCTCTCAATATAGACAAAACACACAACAGGAATGCAATGCTGCTCAAACCAGAATCGAGGGCTGTAGAGAAGTGTCCCGCTTACACAGGCATCGAAGCTCAAGCTGCGTTTTATACAAAACGAATATGGGCTTATCAAACGCTTTAACTAATATTACTCTTCTTTATCAATATAGAAACTATTAGAGCAGCAGCCCCCTTTTTATGAGACCACAAATACATATTGCTCTGTTTATTTAGACAATTATTAAAGGTAATTTTCGACTCAAACTCCACAAATATTGAACATGCACTCGAAAATGTTATTTATAGGAAATTAAAAATATATCTAGAAATGTTAAATGTTACAAGTATGTAAAAGATTTTTTACAGAAATCGTAATATATTTGTTATTGCAACACTAAACCTAAACATTAAAATGCATACAATGTATTCTATTGATAAAGTCTGTTTGTTCCATTCAAACTCATATACAAATATTTAAAATTGTTTATGAGGTGTTAGATACAACATTTAAATAAAACCTAAAAAGTTGTATGGACAAAAAAAACAGAAAAACCCCTTGAAGAACATTTGAAGACAAGATGTGGATTTTGTAATTTTGTATTTGGGCATATGGTTCCCATACCCAAGACAAAGGAATTGCAACAAAAACAAAAATAAAGGGAGATAAATAACATTTCAATAAAGTTCATAAAATATAGTTTCTATTAAAAAGAATCTAATTGTTTGCTACTTATTCAAAACTTTATTTCTCCATTAAATTTTATATCATGACCAGTTCAGTTTTATGTTTGCCATATTGAAAATTTGTAAAAAATATCGAAAAACTCTACAGAAAAATTAAAGGGCTCAACTTTATTGAAAATGTTTTATTACAGCAAAATTTTAAAAAATATATAAGAAAAAGGAAATAAAATAAATTTTACCATTTACAACATGGCAGTTCATAAAGAAATATATAGGTCACTCTTCTTTGTAGCTGCCATATGTTTAACACTCTTATCCACTCTTTTATTTATATTGTTGTTGAATTAAATTTATTTTTTTTTAATTTTTACAAGTGTTTCAATATCGTAGAAATTATCTTGGAATCATTGTAAATTATTGACACCATTTGTAAGCTTTTAAGTACTTAATAATATATATAACAGCAAGCGCAACAGGGAAACGAACTTTATAAATTTCGACGATTTTCACAAAACAGATGGTTTAATTTATTCAACTCTTGGGGGAAAACAACACCCTCTAAATTAGGTTAAACTTGTCATTGGCAGTGAATTTTTTATACGTATATATGTATGAAGTAAAATGGCAAATGATAAATTTAAAAGGCGGAATTTATTTACGATTTCGCAATTACTGCCGGATATTTTAAACTACGAAAAAATAACACTGCGGTTTTCTTTTGTTGAATCAGATTACAAAATATTTTGACAGATTTATGGAAATAATGAAAATATTTTAGAGGATTTTATAGCAGATTTTATAATTGTTATGAAGTTGTTTGTTTAATAACACATTTCTCCACATTTTCCACTCCCACCAAGCAATTTTTTAAAACTGGTTTAATTCCCGCATAAGGGCAATCTTCCCGTATCTTGGTGTTATTACAAATCGGGGGGATAAGAGATGATACCTAGCCTACCGGGACTAGAAACTGGTGATGATCAAATGTATCCTCGGTCTTTGCTTGGAATAATTTGACTTGGGGTCGACCAAGGCAGCCTTATAATCTAGTACAACGGGAACCGATGGATATATGAGGGCCTCACCTATCCGTTAGATAGATAGATAGATAGATAGATAGATAGATAGATAGATAGATAGATAGATAGATAGATAGATAGATAGATAGATAGATAGATAGATAGATAGATAGATAGATAGATAGATAGATAGATAGATAGATAGATAGATAGATAGATAGATAGATAGATAGATAGATAGATAGATAGATAGATAGATAGATAGATAGATAGATAGATAGATAGATAGATAGATAGATAGATAGATAGATAGATAGATAGATAGATAGATAGATAGATAGATAGATAGATAGATAGATAGATAGATAGATAGATAGATAGATAGATAGATAGATAGATAGATAGATAGATAGATAGATAGATAGATAGATAGATAGATAGATAGATAGATAGATAGATATAAGAATAAGTTTTTTGCCACATTTATCCAATATATCATTTATCCCTGATTTTTAAATTAATTTAAAATTTCTCTTTTCTTTCAGATACTAATCGTTGAAATTATTCAATCGAAAAATCAAGAGAAACTTACTAATGGCAACTCAACAGCAAGGCGATACGTTTTTATGGACTATGAAATACCCGATTGGATGGTGGAATGTTATAAGAAAATTGGAATTTTTGGATTTGGGGCTGCTGTCAGTCAATTGACAACTGATATTGCAAAATATTCAATTGGACGTTTGAGACCACATTTCTTAGATGTAAGTTGAAACCGTTTGATTAATATTGTCATATTGAAAAGCTCAGTTTAAAATCCCCCCAAAAAGACATATGTTAAGCAGACAAAATGGATTGAATTTTTTGTAATTTTTAAAATTTTTAATTTTAAGAGTTATTTTGATGAAGTACATTTGAAGTGTGTGTTATTTTCGAAAACATATTTTTAGTAAGATTTTTTATAAAAAATTATGTATATTTTTAAAAAATATCAAGTATACCATAACACCCTAAATCAGTCTTTATAATTTGCAGTTTTTAAAATTGTCTTCTAGATTGTCACAGTAGTTTTGTTAATAACTTTGAAGGGGAGATACTTTTTTTTTCATTCAAAAATAAGTTTTGATAGTTTTCTTCAGTTTTTTAATGGAAAATTGTCGGCAGCTGTTGTCATGTTTTTGTTACAAAACTAATTTTTAGTTCTGCCAGTCAACAATAATGTTATAAGAGTTGATTTCTATCTCAAGTGTTCCCCATCTTCTCTAAAGTATGATACAAAAAAAATAAATCTTAAACATGGATCTTTCGCTGTATTATTAGTGTAATTAGGCGTAGATTTTTAAACAGTTCAGTTCTCATTATGCAGATGTTTTTTATATTCTTTTTAAAATATCTTTTTATTCTATTTGTGTTATAAATTTGAAGCAAGTTCACTTTCAAGGTCACTCAAATGTTTAAGATGTCTTAAATCCAGAGTACCTACCCTTAAATTGCAAACATCTATAATTGTAAAATTATATAGAATTTTCTTGTTCATCCATAATCATAAAACTGAAAGAACATTTTACTTGTGTCTCCTTTACTTTTTTGATTTGTCTGCTATTTCTTTAAAATATCTTTATAGTTTACTCTTTCTCCTTGACATTATTAAATATTTTATATTGCACAGATACTAATAATCGAACTGATAGACAAAGATGCAGACAGATTGGATCTGTTATATTTAATTGGCATGGTATCGTTTTAAATAGACTACATGAAAATCCAAGAGTATGACGTCAAATCGTTTGTTTAATTTATTGTAAAATAAATTTTAATTGTTTAATTTAAACACTTTGAGAGTATTTTTAATGTATCGAAGATATCAGAAATATTTAACCACAATGCTATAGATCATTACCTTCTTTGATCTTGGTGAACTTGAAAAATGTTTCCATAGAACAATATTCTTAATATTCTCTTGGAAAGAGTACAATGCTTATTACTTTCGACTAAACAAGGCTGGATGGAATATAATTGTTCTAGTAGCAGGTTCAGATAACCAACAATTATAGCCAATAGTTCTCAATTACACGATATCGAAGCACTGGATCATTCCGGCAACCGGAAATTTAATTAAATTCCACACTATTGTTTTTCACAGTTTACCAGTGTGTTCATCCAATTAACATCCAATGAACTGCTCCGGGCTGAGCATCAGTGTCAGTGGTCGAAAACTTTAAAACAACAAAGGCAAAATTCAACAGCTTACGCTACAACAACATCATAGTCGTCACATAAAGAAACCTTGTCGGCTACATATAAAGCGATTGGGTATTTAGTCGAAAATATATGCTACCACATGGTGTCGCCTCAGGAACTGCTCCGGACTGAGTCATCAGCGAGAGTGGTCGGGAATTTTACAATAACAACAACTTCGTCATAACTACCTTCTCCTCTGTAATCGCAATAATAGCAGCAAAAATTACCGCCATCGTTCTCGACGACAATAGAAGTTCTGCGCCAGAACGACCCGATTCTTAATTGGACAAATATTGTCAACTCTGCAACAGCTGTATCAATAGCTTAACTGTAACAATGACCTATACAGCTTACTTCCTCAGTTAATTTCACTGTAATTACACTCAAATTGGGAATTAATGCCGAAGTTCTTTACGTGGTCTTTTTCAACCACTGGGTGTGCTTTGTGATGACTCACTACCGCCCTTTCAATCTTCAATGAAGAAATCAGGTGGCAATTTTTGTACATGGCTAAAGCCGGTCCATGTACAAGCACTTTGCTCAAGTACTTGAGCTATCCAATCTTTGACCATTGCTGCCCCGTTGCTTAACTTCCGAAATGTAAAACATCACTTACGTTTACAACCACGCAGATGGGATGGCCTCTATTGATTCGAAAACAGCACCTAGAGAGGTAACCGGTAGACCGAAGTACTAATACAAGGAAAGAAAATTCAATGCTATGATTGGTATATGATACCTTTCATCCATCATCATACAACCCAGCACACTTCTCATTCATCCGACACATTCATAAGAGAAAAACATATGACACACTTATTCTAGGTAAACGGGTGGGTGAGGCCCGCATACTCCACATTCATCCCGTACCATATATAATTAACACCAACTCATTTCCAACGCTTAGTCCAACAGTCACTCCTCTGTGGGGTATCTGTTGTCTCCGCAACAGAACCAAACTTATACCGAAATATTAACTTTACCTTACATCAGTCCTTTAACCGCCACTTACTTTCCCCGCGAATTTGGGTTTAACCACAGCCACTACGTGGATCCCGAAAGAACCTCAACCAACTGACCAGCCAGGACATAGGCCTGCGGGCAACTGGCCACCCGTAGTACCAGATTATGTGATTCTCTGGTTAGACCCCATGTCAAATTATTCCAAGGAAAGGCCAAAGATACATTAGGTCATCACCAGCTTATAGTCCCGGCAGACTAGAGGTGCTGGTAGCACCTCTTTAACCCGGGATTGCAATACACCATTATTGGACATCACATCATGGAAACATGCCCCGAGGGGGGGTGGGGGTTACAAATTGGGAAGTGGAAACAAGATCCTCAAAGCGCTGCCCAGCAGGGGTATGGATAAAGAAACCTTCTTGACTACATATAAAGCGATAAGCGCCGGGCAGGTAATGCTGTTCTAAGGACTGCAACGGACTGCTTGCAAGTTATCCCATTCAAGGAGCACAACATCATGTTAACTAAACAGTTCATCCTGCGAAGTCAGTCTTCGGAGGTATTATCCCAAGGAAGGACCTTCATTTATACGAGGATCTGGGTCATAAAATGGACGATCTGGGTCATAAAATGGACTAATCTTCAATGCATTTAGAGAAGTAAACCTTTACAGAAGAAATTTCTTTATAGGACCATCAATAATAGACCGAACTAGGCAGAATTATGAAGAGTGGTTCTTGATTTCTTGACTTTTAAGCAGTATTTGGGCTGGATAATTGTACAGGAACTGAAATCGAATGATCGAACCTTATAAGTAGAGAATATATCAGACCTCAAGGTTTTCCCGTTTTGCTCTATAGTGATTTCAATGGACAGACAGACAGACAGACAGAGATTTGAAAAAACTTCCTTTTAAATCCCCACTGTATTACACTTTCCCATTTTTAGATAAAAACATCATTATTTTTACACATTTAATATATTTTTTCTTTACAAATCTCTATGTCTTCATGTAAGATTAAAGGATTTTATGGTTGTACACAATCTTACATTCCAGGCCACACCTGTGTTAAACAATCTTACACAAAAAAATAAAAAAACTATAATAATTTTCGAAAAAAATGAATGAATTTCAAAAATTCTATAACGTAACAATAAACAAAAAAATATATCGGCAATTAGGAATGCAAGTTACACACTTATTACAACACAAAGTGACGGATTTATAAATAATAAATAAAAATCCAAATGAATTTGTAAATGGACACACATTTTCTGAACCTTTTTTTTAAACAAAACTTAAATAATGCCACCCAAGTTCAAAGAAATATATAAATACAAAAAATTCTCACACTATTGTAAAATGATCCATAGATACATGAATTCAGATTGCTGAAAAAAGAGATCAAACCATACAGAGGATCAGAGCTGTAACAATACATTACCATGGACCAGAAAATAAAAGAAAATGCAATTGTAAAACTCTTGCTACACAATTCAAAGGAAAAACATACAAATCATGAAATGGACTCGAATTGCATAAAAATAAATCTGCAACATCATGATGACTTTTCATGCATGTTTGTGTGTAATCGTATGTTGGTCTATTTATTTTGAAAATATAAAAAAACTAACTACTGCATATATACTTCAATAGATCTAATTTTCATTTCATATACAAAAGGTTCAAAATAATGCAAAAAAAAAATAAAGCTGCTTAAAAGATTTCACATAAAAAGATCTATTTTTTTCGCAAGTAAGATTCAAATTACATTTTTATAGTTTTTCATACAGATACCAATGAAATATTAAAACACATTCACATCAATTATCACGGTCTACAAGTATAAACAGTAGCACCACTCATTACCCAACCACGAAAAATATGGGTTAAAAAACATTTGCTTTGATATTGATAGTGAAATGTCAAATGATTTGGGGTTTTTTCAATTGTTAAACTATAAAGGAATGAAGTGAATAAAAGTGTGATTTCATTAATTGGGCTGGTTATAGTAAGAACTAGTTATCTGACTGGTACTTTTGGGATCATGAAAGGATCTTGAAGAACCGGTTTATATAAAATAGAGCTTCTTGGTCTAAGTTTAATATATCTTTTCCAGTTTTTTTTGAAAAACTTTTTATTGAAAAACTGAGAATATTGAAATATTCATTTAATCCTTTAATTGTTTAAGTTAAATAAAGTTATAGGACTTGTTTATAATGTTATAATTAGAACCGGAACTTTTCCCAGAACTAGTTCTAGCATAAACTTGTTCCCTTTTATTTGACCAGCCACAGGGGATGACCTCTACTTATACAGTGCATTGCATTGGAACTAGATTGTGGTAGGGAGGTTAGGGGGTAGAGTGTTTAAAGTAAATTTTCTTGAATCAAAATGGCAAGAAATATTCCTGCAGGAAATTTGTTCCACATACGAACACTGAATGAATGTCGAAGTGTTTTACGTTAACACCTGCCGTGGTGGCCTAATATCACGGTGGTCTTTTTCACCCACTGGGTTAGCTTTCGTGACGACTCACCAACGTCCCTTTGTGCGGGTGGCAATTTTTGTACATGGTTCTGCCGGTATATGTACAAGTACTGCTATATAATCTCTGACCATTGCTGACCCGTTGCTTAACTTCCAAGATGCACAAACATTACTTTCATTTACAATCACACAGATGGGATGGCATCTGTTGAGTCGGCAACAGCACCTAGAGACGTAGACGGTAGTCTGAAACACGAATCCATTAAAAAAAGCCGAAGACTCACAGAGAACACACTGTGGTAAATCTGGTATGTTTGCCTGAACATACCTGTACAAGGAAGGAAAATTCAATGGTATCACATGTATAAGATACCTTTCTATCAACATTCAACCCAGCACACTTCCCATTCATTCGACACACTCAATAGAGAGTAACATCCGACACACTTACTCTTTCATCTGTATTATATACACTTAACACCAACTAATTTCTAATGCTTAGTCCCACAGTCACTCCTCTGTGGAGTATCTGTGCATCAGTCCTTTAACCGACATTCACTTCTCGCGAAATTGGGTTTAAACTACAGCCACTAGGTGGATCCCGAAGGAACCTCAACCAACTGACCAGCCAGGACATAGTCCTGCAGGCAACTGGCCACCCGTAGTACCAGATTATGTGGTGCTCTTGTTCGACGTCATGTCAAATCATTCCAAGGAAAGGCCAAGGATACATTTGATCATCACCAGTTTTTAGTCCTGGCAGACTAGAGGTACTGGTAGCACTTCTAGACCAAGGGATTGTAATACACCAAGTTGGGGCCATTCATCAAGAAAACATGCCCGAACGGTGAATATGAAGGATGAATTATCCCTATAATGTGCTGTACATTCCTCTGGCCAATCGACTACAAATGGGGATGTTCATGATAAAAGACGTGGGTATTGGGCACAAGTTAAGTAATATCGATAGAACAGTAAAATTCACCCTACGTTGTGACGGTAAACCGCCTGTAAATAAATAGTATCTTCGCCCTCTCCTATATGCGGTCGATTAGCTTCTAAATAAACGTTGAAGTTCCTGTCCATATATGGGAATTGTATTCCATTTCGGTCGGTTATAAGTGATATATAGATAAAAACAAGATTTGAACTAAGCGTATGGCGAATATAACCTCTAAGACCCTGCTGGAAATACAAAACTTGAATGACCACAACCAACTTAACTTAATCCTGATATCTGTATCAAACTCTTGCAAATAATCAAATCACAGTTTTACAAAAGAAGAAAGTCCGGAAACTTGTATAAAGACATTCCACTTTCTATGTCAAGTCCAAAGTTATTATAAACATCAATCCCACTCGATTCAAATGTCCCAATATGGAATAGACGATAGATTTGGGAACTTACACATTAACCAGAGTTTAAAAAATCCAAACACACAGTTTCATCTGAATGATTGTCATTATTATCGGAAAACATTCGTCTATCAGATGGGAAAGATACCTCTACTCTCTGGCATGAAAAGCAAATAGAGCTGTTTCCGGTGGGTTTTGAAAATGTGAAATCAAACCTTCACATCGCAACAAGTATATTTCTCTTTGTGAAAAGGAAAGAGAACTAACGCAAATGTGTACATATGTGTACATATTAGAATAGATGCTTTGGAACTTGCATATTCTAGTAAAAGAATCCGAATGATTCAAAAATCAGGCTGATCATCTATAAGATGGAAGGGGCAGTTCTTAGGATCGGTCTTGGATTTCTGAGGGATTATTTAGTCCCAAAACTAGTATGAGAGACATTTTCTTCCTGTGATATTAATACTGGAGTTATTACTTACGAATTTCCCTTGCCCTAAGAAATGAAGCAAATCAGGCAGATCATCTGTAAGATGGAAGGTGTAGTTCTTAGGATCGTGCTTGGATTTTTGAGAGGTTATTTAGTCCCGAAACTAGTATTTGAGGCATTTTTCTTCCTGTCATATTAATACTGGAGTTATTACTTACAAATTTCCCTTGCACTCAAAAAGATCAGAAGAAGAAGAAGAATTTAAACGATCTAAACGAAGTGTTTGAAGGATGGTTTTGAATCATCGATTCAGAAACATTTGTGATTAGGGAAGGGAATTGACACAAATCTAGTTCCGTTGCATGGTAAGGGACCAAGTTTTTATTATAAGTTCCCTTTTATTGATGTAATTACTTTTTAAAACAGGGAGCATATAATATTCAGATATCGATATCCTTGCCTCTAGCCCGATATCTGATGATTATTTCACTAGTTCTGTTCATGGAAACAAAGATTTACATGTACAACTCGAAATTAGCTCCTCAAATTGCAGACCGGAGATGGAGTTAAGTAAGATATAGTTTCGCGTCAGCTTTGAAAAGGAATGCTTTCATGTTTCTCTTTATGAATGAAAGTATTTAATACCTTAACAGCTCTGTCTAAGAAATGCATTAGTGTTTGTATATGTATGTATTGGGGATGCCAAACGGGAATTCCCGATTCCCGAAAATCCCGGGATTTTCGGGATTTGAATGTACCGAAAACCGGGATTTTAAAAAATGAAATCCCGGGAAATTTCGGGATTTTAAAATCCCTAATTTTTAAGTATTTTTCCGCTATTTTATACATTATAAAGTACTAAATAAGAGAATTTTAAAAGTTTTTGGACTTAAGATGACTCTACTAACTTACAAGCTGAAATATCAAAAAAAAAAGTAAGAGTGCTATATTCGGCTATGCCGAATATGCTTTTCTATAAACATCAGGGTGATATTACTCATCAAATTTACTGATAGGATCTTATATGAGAGGTAGGGTGAATCATTGACCGTTTTTATAAAATTTTTCATAATTTTTTTAAACCAATTTTGGTTCATACACTTTCCGGTAGGAAGATTTACGTTTCTATAAAAGTTTCTTAGCTTTTGGCGAGTAAGAAATTTACTTATCTCAAATTTCATCTCTACACTCGTACTTGTAAGCCAGTAATGAGCGTTAAAGTATTTATCTGGATGGGACCTTATGTAGGGGTAGGGTCAATTATGGACCGAAACACATAAAACTTGGTAGAGAGATTTTGACTCGCATGAAACATATGTGTATCGAATTTCATCGCTATACTTTTTTAAGCCAGTAATGAGCGTTAAAGTCATTTTTTTAACGGGACCTTATATGGGGGTAGGGTCAATTATGAACCGACCCACATAAAATTTGTTAGAGAGGTTTTGGCTCGTCAGGGATTTACTAATATCAAATTTCATTGCTATACTAAATAGGCATAGATACTATCGGATATATAAAAATAACAAGTACGAAATTATAGGCGGACGAGGCCGACCATATAACCCCATACACCAGTTATGAGAGTAAAATGTAATTTAGTTTTCATAATAAATGTATACCTCGCCTCCGATATATTCTAGCACTTTATTGTTAAACAACTATTTTTCTGAAATATGCTTGGGGGAAGGACGCCATCATATGAGTCGATCCTCATAAAATTTGGAGGGCGAATTTACGATTACATAAAATGTTTTATGCTGATTTTCATTGCGACAGTTCTCTTTTTAAGCGAATTGTGGACACTAATTCTTTTTTAAAGCTGTGTTTTATATGGGGGCTCGGATCAAAAGCTCGATCATTTCAAATTTCATCAGCGTATTTTAGGACAGTATAAAACTACTCCGGAGAAACCCAATATACCATCCCTACTAAGGGTATAAAAAGGGCAATAAATAGGCATTGATAGTATCGGATATCTATAATGGAAGTCAACCTGTCAATAAGATGGCGAGAAGATAATTCCCTTGGTTAGTGAACACGGAATATAAGGTGGAGGAGATATAGGTGCAGTACAGGTGCTCTATGTAGCCTCGTATGGATCCCCATTACATATCATGGGTATTATTTTAGGTCTTTATTCTACTATTCAGTGCCTGGGATGGAAAGATTTTTATTCTAAGTATGTACTTTGAATTAATTTGTGTTTCTTTTCACAAAATGCTTATTGGAAAGTAAACACCTACTAAGAGTATTCATAATGCAATTTGAAATAAAACATTTTATTTTTGTCGGTAAATTATTAAGATTTTTTGATTTTTTTTTATATTTTTCGGGATTTAGAAATCCCGAAAATCCCGGGATCCCGATATCGGGATTCCGGGATTTATTTAAAAATCCCGAATCCCGGAATTTCTAAAAACCAGTCCCGATTGGCATCCCTAGTATGTATGTCAATAGTGTTTGCCACCGTTTACTAAATAGTGTTGTCAACAAAAAAACACACACCTGCTGATTTAGTGTTTTTTTGTACAAGATTTATTTTTCTTATTTAATTTTTAGCATTATTTTTCTTAAATTTATTTACCCCCTTATTCATAAACAACATTTTATTTTATAAAAGGTTTATAAAACAAAATTTCCATACGAAATTTGATTTATTAATCGTTTATAAAATAAAATTGTGTTTATGAATAAGGGAGTTAAACTTTAAAATTCGCATTAAAAAGCAGTTTATCGAGGATTTTTTAAAACATTTCAATTTCAAACTGTTGTTTAATTTAAAATCATTTAAAACTAAAAGAAACATTTGTTGAAATGTCATACAGATAAATAAGCTTTAATGTTTGATTAACACTTCAAAATCACGCAATATTTGCATAAATTATTTAATATAAATATCAAATTGCTAAACAATTTTAAGCTTTTTTTTCTAACATAAAAGTAATTGATCATTTATGGTTTTAATAGGGATTTAAAGTATTAAGAAGTTGTCATTGATAAATTGAAATATTTCATATTCATATTTAACGATTTTTTCATATTTTTTATTTTTAGGTTTGTCAACCCATTATGCCAGATGGCACTACTTGTGCTGATCCCAAAAATTTGGGTAAATATATAATGGAATTCACCTGTGGCAATCCATACGCAACAAAACGCATGTTAAAGGAAGTTAGACTATCGTTCCCTAGTGGTCATTCTAGTTTCACTTTCTATACCATGGTCTATGTAGCGGTAAGTTTTATAATATTTATATGAATTATGTTATTTTTTTTAATCAAATATATTATTACAGTTATATTTACAATCACGTATGACTTGGCGTGGTTCGAAATTGTTGAGACATTTCTTGCAATTTGCTTTAATCATGATTGCCTGGTATACAGCCCTGACGCGCGTATCCGATTATAAACATCATTGGTCCGATGTGTTGGCCGGTTCAGCAATTGGATCCCTGGTGGCTGTTATAGTGGTGAGTTTAAGTATTTTATGTTTGCAATATATTAGCACTATTTGAGTTCTTAACCCATTGGTACGTCTTAAACAAAATTAAAATTAAGTTTTTATTATATTTTCTGAGAACTCAGATGGTAAAGTTTTTCCATATGTTCTGTAAAAGCATGCCTCCGCCTTCCTTATTTATCATTTGCACCTGTAGCTTTAGTATTGTTTCCAACTTTCTAAGTTTATTTTAAGTTGATCTGGTCTTTAATCCATGACCAAGGTTTGTCTTAAAGTTTTATTAAATTAATTTGCACATTTTGATGAAAACCCTCCTCTCCCGGTATACATACACGATTTATAAAGTTATTGATGGTTCTGTTGTAGTAAACCTGTTATAAACCATTGATAGCTTTATGAGTATGGGTGTTCCTCTCTCTTATTATACATATACCTTTCTTTTGCATTTCACTTATCTGTTTCAAATGTTCACCTTCATTCTAGAGATACTTGGTGCCGGATAATTGGTTTAATTGGAATACTGTTTGGCCCACTGTCCATACCAAAGACAATTAGATTTGCAAATAAATAATATATATTTTTATTAAAAAAAAAGTTCCTTATGCTTTGATATAGAAATAAAAGATTTTTTAATAAAATATGCAAAATAAAAATATTAACATAAAGTTTTGAAATTTGTATATTGGGTAGTGTTTGATTTAAACGATATAGATGTCAAGCATTGAAGCCTCAATCGCCTTAATAATCGACAAATAAAGACAAATTAGTACTTAACTAGACCAAATATGTTCGAAATGTTATAACTTTCTAATATAATTAAATTAGGTTAGGTTGAATGGAGGATGTTAATAGATTAGATCCGAAAATACATATTTAGCCCTCTAGTGCGTTAATTTTCATGGAGGAAAATCTTGTATATAAAGAATTATTTTCTAATGTTTAGAAAATCATTTTCCATAAAGTAGTTTCTCAGACTTTCCTTTATGAATGTAGTTCCCCAAATCAGTGTTTCTGAGGGATGTAAGATTTGGATCTAATTTCGACAAAAGCCTAGCAATGTAAGAGAAAATGATGAAGCATTCCACTTTCATCTCCTCATGCTCTACAGTATTCTGTAAATTTTCCCATAAATCGGTGTGTTCACTAAGAAAACGTACCATTTATTACTATCTTAGTACTAATTTTGGACTTATTCATCATTTGAAGGCTTCTTGTCCTGCTCTAGTTGGGGTCCCACCATAGTATGTAGTGGTCCTTTCTGCCATTGCATTATTCCAAAAAGATTTTTTCATCCATATTTTTAATTCGATCCTCATTGCGTCGAATGCATTAATGTTCGCCATTTTACCTTCCTTTACCTTTCATTGCCAATTATCCTCGAGAGGCATGGTACCATATTCAGTCCATTACATTTAACAAATTCCTTCATTGCGCAGACTTCCGCTAATGCTGTAAATAGGAAGATGATAGTATATTTCGTCTTATATCCTCAGATATGTTTTGTCTCCTAGGATGTTCAATGTCTCACAGTTAACGAAAATTTCCGGTAGGCGATCGAGCACCTTTCGTGTTTATACTTATATAACCGATCAATATGTCCATTATACATTTATGACATGTTCTGTAAATCGCTTTGGTTAATTCACATCAAGATAAGGGATTCTCGACCGCTAGTCCACCTCACATCTTACATGTGCTTCGATCGGAGAATTTTTCTATGTTACACTTTTTATCCAAAGCAGTCCATCTGATTATAGAAGCGTAAGTTTAACATAGTTTCGACTGATACCCCATTTCGAGCCTATAGATCTCGAACACAACACCAATTATCAATATGCTTTGTTAGTACCCAGCAGTTCGGTCGGACAGTTCCGAACTATCTATTTAATCTAATTTAACATGTGCTTGTCCTACAAGGAAATGAATCGTCATAACATAGATTACGAAGAGACAGATGAAAAGCTTAAGTTTGTTTTTTAAGTGACCACTCTCTCGCTTGCAAAGGGGACTCTAAAGTGACGATTATATTCACCCTCGTTTACAAAGAGTACATCCGTGACGAAAGACGAATTAGAACCAACCAGGTGATTAGACATAAGTGGACATCACTGTCATTTTCGGATGTATGGACTCTTTGTCGAACTGCTAGGTATTATCCTCAAAGTCCCAAACCATGTTAATTTTGTGTCACAGATCCCTTAACCACAGTTAATACATTCTTATCAATGACTATGCTCGTCGTATTACATTTCTCTGAATAAAATTGATTTAAAATTTCCTAGCGACCTCTTCAAAATATCTTTAAACAAAAAATCGTGTGCAATTTCCTATGTACATATGTTTTTCTAATTTCCAATAATTTCGATCATTAAAATAACACTTTTAACCAAATTGAGGTAAAAACGATAAACGTCAAAGGCCATTTTCAATTATACAGACTAAACACGACAGCATTACATAAAATAACAACAGCGATAACGACAACAACAACAACATCTAAAACAGGTAAAACAACAGGAGGAATCAAAAGTCAAAATGGTCACAATTAAACATGGACACAGTTGCACCAAATAAGACACAAGATTTCATCTACAAATGATGAACAGAAGCGTGGTAGAATGAAATGAAACTGAAAGCGTGAGGAATTGTTTTCAATTACAATCATCCAAATTTAGGATAGATTTAGATCGATATGATCTGATATATAGACTAGTATAATAAAAGTAAGAGGAGGTTTAGCCTTCCCTTTAAAAACTTGTCCAAGCTTTCGGCTTTTTATCTCAGCTATCTGAGTATGAATGAGCGCATAACAACTCTCCCTCCGTTCAATAATAGTGCGGTCAAGATCTTTATCTAAAGGATCTGTAATGTGATCTTTGCAGCTTAAGGCTCCTCGCAACGTTTTCATTTGGGAAGAAACCACCAATACCAGGGCCAATTTTCAGTTTTTTCCATGCTTCGGATCTGCCGAAAGGATCTGTAATGGGATCTTTGCAGCTTAAGGCTCCTCGCAACGTTTCCATTTGGGAAGAAACCACCAATACCAGGGCCAATTTTCAGTTTTTTCCATGCTTCCCATATAAAATGAGTGTTCATAGCCAGCATGGGCCTAGTGATTCCTTAGCTATTAAAGTCCACATCGAACACGATCACCTGACTTCGGGAAACTATCTTTCCCAAGGCAATGTCTTTATTTCTATTTGTATTTCTTGCCTTCAACAAAGGAGTCCTTTTAGAAGATCTAGTGTTCTGAATGGGTTCTGAATACCCATTTGACCTTTGTGGAGAATATGTTAATCCCCTAGTTCAAAGATATTTTAATCTGGTTTCTTCAGAATATGTCATAAGAATTGTATTTTTCTTTACAATAAACATTCGGACTAATGGTCTCCAATTATCGATCTATATCCAAAACTAAATATTCCCCGAACACTAAGACATTTGACTTGTCTTTGATCCTCCCAATATTAATAGGTTTCTGAATGTTAATTTGATCCTGATTAATAGTTTTCTGAATGTTAATTGTAATTTAATTTCATGAAAACCCTCTACTCCCCTTTACTACGTCTTTATGTGCAACATTAGATTAGTGCAAGTACATAGATGCCGAAAAAAACTACATATCTATCTCGGCAAATCTTATCTCTTACAAGTTGCAACAACAATAAAACAAGACTTCAATATACAAGTGTGCGAGATAGTTTGTCGTAAGAATTTGTTGTACAAGAGATATTGATTCGACACGCAAATCATAATTTACGTGCTTTTGAGGAGTGTTTCCATTCGTAATCGAAAACACTCGAAACAGTTGATATCATTTGTAACTTGAATTTCAACAAATTTTCGTAATAAAAAAAATTCTTTACTTCAAAGAAGAAATAAAATATTTCATGCCACCATTTAAACGATTTTATTTCACTCATTCATGTTGATGTATTATCCGTTGGCTATTTGGCAGAGATTAAATTCCCCGTAATATATTTTGACAGATTTATTATTTTCGTTGTTGTTGTTGCTATTTTGAGATCTTACAATGTATGCACGTCTATCTATTTGAGATGAAAACCATGTTTAATGCCCAATTAAGTTGAATTAGTTGCAAACAATTATAAATAATTGTGACACCATTTAAACCGAGTGTTGTGAGTGAGTGAATGCGAAAAAAATGAACGGTTTCTTGTACAAATTTATTGGGAAATCTTAAACTGATTTTGTTACAATTTAAATGGGTTTCAATTAAATCAGACAATATGACAATTGTTTTTACATGATTGAATTGTGTAAATTTCGTTAGTAAATTAGTCTCGCTATACGAAAGAGTTACACTTACATAAGAGGACTTTGAAATGAGTGGTTGATTATGACACCCATTTGTCAATTACTGTGACTTTATAAACAAAATTGTGGGAAAATAATGTAAAAGATTGCATATAGAGATCTAATCGAACGCGATGAAGAATAATTTCTGGGTACCAGCAGTCTTTACTTTGGCTCCTACTCCATTTTTTACATTTCTCGGGCAAAGCTTTCTAAGGTTGAGGAAATAGGGCACATACATATAAATGATTCAACCAGAATACAATGTCTATTTCTAAATAGATTCTGTCAATGTCCGAAAGACTCGATATTTGGCCTTCAAAAGTACATTCAGAGCGATTCTGCCTTTGAAGAAGCAATGCCATGATACTATCCTGCATAATCCCGCCTAGTAAAGGAATTGCGCCCGATCTCTTTTTGAAAACTTGCCAAAATGCTTTCTACAGACTACATCTCAGTTTAAATAGTCATTGGTATAGTTCTAGTTGCTTTAATACTGTGGATTTAGACATGTTTCGCACTCCTCGAGGTTTCCACAGTTGAAAGAGGGCTTGTTTTGTGAGAGGGCTCAATCTCAGAGAAAGGTATTAACGTCAGGTCAGAAACGTCTGGACGTCAAAAATAAGAAGTTTTCATAATGATCAGTTTTCTTATTTATTCTTTGTTTCATACTCTCTATGAGTATACTTTTATGTTCGGACTGTATTTGCATCTCGTCGAAGGATATCACCTTTTTTCGAAGATCGTTTTTTACAGTGTTAATATCTAAATTGGCTAGTGCAAAATAATTTAGAAAAGTAGAAAAACATTAATGGAAGTCTTAGGGAACCTGATGGCTTGTCCTGTAAGTCGAATTTTCCATATTTTTAAACCTATCATCAAAAAAGATATAAGCCCTATCTTTTGATTGATTTTATCATTATTTTTGTAACACATCAAAATATTGGTCATAGACCCACAACTTAATATATATTTGGGATCCCTATTAAATTCAAAGATTATCTAACAATGTCCGTCCATCTGTCTATTGAAAGCACGATAGAGTCCGAACGATCTAGAGGCTTGAAATTTTCCAAAAATTGCAAATGGGCAATATCAGTCCACGTTTTCGCAAAGTCCTCATACAAAAAACAGTTTTAACAATCATAACTGTCTTAAAAATACCATTATAATGATGAAATTTGACAAGTTTTATTAATACCAAAATCTCTATATTATATTTTATGGTGATCGGATCGGAACTCCATTCCTCATATAAGGTCCCCGTCAGAAAATGACTTAAACTTCCACTGCTGGCTTAAAAATACGAGTATAACGTTGAAATTCGACACAAGCAAGTGTCAACAAAAATCGTTTTACAAGATCGGTCTATAATTGACCCTACCCCTTTATATAAGGTCCCCTTGAGGAAATTACTTTAACACTCATTGCTGACTTAAAAATAGGAGTGCAGCGATAAAATTTGACATAAACAAGACAAGATCGGTCTATAATTGACCCTACCCCTTTATATAAGGTCCCCTTGAGGAAATTACTTTAACACTCATTGCTGACTTAAAAATAGGAGTGCAGCGATAAAATTTGACATAAACAAGTTTTGTCTGAAAGACAAACTTTTTAACGATAATTCTTATAATAATTACCAAATCCTCCAAAAAAAACTGAGATTTAATCATAGTTTTACTCTATTACACTTGCATCGCTTTTAGAGCAAGAACTAAATCAACATAAAACTCCATAATGGGTTAAAAACAACAACATTTTATATCTGGCAATACTTACATAAATTCTTATTGGAATTCAATGTTGTGGATAGCGTGTGTGAGATTTTATTTATGTTAGCTCTTAGTGAAGTTTACATTTCAGTTTTGAATGTAACACATTCTAAAGCATATCCTAAGGCGGAGCCATAAAATCTATAAAACTATATTAAAACTATAATACAATAATTATAACTTATATACTATAAATATAATAACTTTTAACTTGATTCTTAAATCTCTATCTGTCCCTAAAAACTATACCTATTTGGGAGTATGTAAATCTCTACAACTGGCAACACTGATTTAAACATACCTTTTTAAATTCTTTTATTTACAGGCAAATTATGTTTCCGATTTATTTCCCAAGAAATCTTCAAAATCCTATGTATTACCTCGTTCCATGCAAGACATGCCACCACAAACAATAACAGCAAATGGTAATTAATTGATACAAACAAAGTTATTTATTGTTAATTAAAAAAAACACCAACGGATATAAAAAACATTCTATATACAAATATAAAAGTATTTTTTAAAAATAATTTTATCACTATAAGTAAAAGTAAATTAGTTATAAGTTATAAAAGAAAATTATACTTAAAAGTAATTTAATTAAAATAGTTTTACTTAAAACTAACTAGACTCGCAGACACAGTTCACAAATTTAAAGTTAATTAAACCATTATTAAATTATTTAACACAATATCAAATTAATTAAAAAAAAAAAAAACTGTAAAATAAAAAAAATGTTAAATTTATACACCAACACTTAAAAGCAATAGAAGCAGAGCTTTCATTTAATGTAATTAATTAATGTTATGTATAAAATCTAGCTACTAAATTAAGAAACGATTTAAATTAATAAAAAAACAGCAAATACACATATTTATAGGCAATTAAGAAAGCACCTCAAGTGTCTTCCTCATTTCTAAGAGAATTTAAATTATTAATTTAATTAATAATTAACTCTAATAAATACTTGAAATTATACACTGTAATGTTACACAATAATTGTAAAAAAATAAGCCTAAAATCATAGTAATTTTTATTAAAAGCACCCTTATTTATTGTTAAACAATTTTGAATTACTACTGACCATAAAGAAAAACAAATTTAAATTATTATAAAATTATATCAATCTAGTGCATAAAATACATACAATTTAGTTGCCTTATAAAATAAAAAAATAAGTTTAAAAAACTCTTAACAATTGTAGTTTTAATTCCAAAATTGCTGTCAGAGGATTTGCTGCTTAATCAATTATCCGACTTAAAGTTGAAGTCGTTGTTGGGCCTCAAGAAGATTATAAATTGGATATTTTTGGTTAGTTATTTGGTTAGTTACAAAGATAGATGGATAGATAGATAGATAGATAGATAGATAGATAGATAGATAGATAGATAGATAGATAGATAGATAGATAGATAGATAGATAGATAGATAGATAGATAGATAGATAGATAGATAGATAGATAGATAGATAGATAGATAGATAGATAGATAGATAGATAGATAGATAGATAGATAGATAGATAGATAGATAGATAGATAGATAGTAGATAGATAGATAGATAGATAGATAGATAGATAGATAGATAGATAGATAGATAGATAGATAGATAGATAGATAGATAGATAGATAGATAGATAGATAGATAGATAGATAGATAGATAGATAGATAGATAGATAGATAGATAGATAGATAGATAGATAGATAGATAGATAGATAGATAGATAGATAGATAGATAGATAGATAGATAGATAGATAGATAGATAGATAGATAGATAGATAGATAGATAGATAGATAGATAAGATAGATAGATAGATAGATAGATAGATAGATAGATAGATAGATAGATAGATAGATAGATAGATAGATAGATAGATAGATAGATAGATAGATAGATAGATAGATAGATAGATAGATAGATAGATAGATAGATAGATAGATAGATAGATAGATAGATAGATAGATAGATAGATAGATAGATAGATAGATAGATAGATAGATAGATAGATAGATAGATAGATAGATAGATAGATAGATAGATAGATAGATAGATAGATAGATAAATAGATAGATAGATAGTTTGATTAGTCCATAGACATGTCAATAAACCATTTCATACACTGATCATTAGACTATTCAATACATTAGTAACTAGCTTTGTCATGGACTCGTTTGTGACAATTCACTTAGAGGTCACAACAAGTAGGACGGTTAATGTGTTTGTCCTTAGATAGTTTCTAGTAACAAAATATCAGAAGTAATTTGTTACTAGAAAAGTTACTTCTTAAGGCTGGTACCATGATAAAAATATGAAGGTAGTGTCATTTCTCTTTCTCAAAACTGATTTTTTTTTAAGGTAGGGATGCTGTTCGTTTTTGACAACACTGAAGTAGATTTAACCTTATTTTTAGAAGCAGTAAAAATTTGATATTTGCATGTCAAAAATAAAGCACATTCTTCCAATGACACCCTTTTTTAAAAATCATTGGTTTTTCACCAGTGACCTTTCTACATCTTTTTCTCATTATTATCTAGGTTTACATTTAAGGATCATAAATGCGGAAAAATGTAATCGCATTTTTAGGTGTGATTAAGATTTCGTTTGTAAAGTATGAATTCCATTTATTGCTGGGTATGAATTTACACAAAACAAACATTAGCCAAAAAGTGAAATAAGCATTCTTGCCCTAACCCCAATAATGGTGTCAATATTAGACAAGAAGCTGAAAGCAAAGTAGCCAAAAGATTTCATTACTCGTTTTTTTTTTTTTACTTGAAGAAAACCGTGTATTCTTGGACCGAATGGAACACATATTGCACACGTTATTGATACGGACAGCAAATTCTGGTCTGTCATATACCTACATATATGTTGGAAGATAAATTTTAGATGTAACAAAATATATACTACTATTTATTAAAAAAACGTTTTTACATATAGCGGTTTTATTTGGTTTCTTCTGTTAATCCTTTCTCCAACTTGAAGAACATGGGAAGCAACAGACAATGTTATCGTGAGTCTCCATAGTATCGATCCATCTGATATTGGGCTTAAGAGGAAGCATATAGTTTTGGTTATTCATTTTCCTTATAAAGCTGTTTCCTTTTTGGCAATTTTATTTAAAATTTTATTGTATTAGATGAAAAATTTTGTTTGATTTTTAGTTTAAATTGAATTTTATTTTATTTATTTTGATTGAAAAATAAACAAAAAAAAATGGATTTTTTAAATAAATGTGGTAACTCGATTTATTAAAATACCAGCAAACGTCAGAAGGTTAATATGGCGTCTAAAAGAGAGAATGACACAACCTTGATATTTTTACCATGGCTGGTACCATAGCAGAAATATTTCTGCTATGGCTGGTACTCTGTTTGAAGTCGTGAAAAATGTTTATCAACTTTTACAATTTCGTTTGAAACAAGTAAGAGTGTTATATTCGGCTATGCCGAATCTTATATACCCACCATCAAACCTCGTTTGACTCGAATGAAACTTACTTATGTCGAATTTCATCTATTATATACTCGTATTTTTTAGGCCAGTTATAAGCGTTAAAATAATTTTCTGAAGGGGACCTTATATAGGGGGGTAGGGTTAATTATGGGTCGATCCTCATAAAATTTAGTAGACAGAATTTGGTTCGTATTAAATTTATTTGTGTCGAATTTCATCGCTACACTCGTATTTTTAAGCCATTAATGAGCGTTGAAGTCACTTTCTGAAGGGGACCTTATATGGGGGTTAGGGTCAATCATGGACCGATCCTCACAAAAATTTTGCATAGTGATTTTGGATCATAAGAAACTTACTTATGTCGAATTTCATCGCTATATTCGTATTTTTAAACAAGTTATGGCTGTTAAAGCTGCTTTTCGAGGGGCCACTTGTATGGGGGCTATCCGAAAACGGGGACCGCTTTCAATACCAAAGAAACCTTACCTATAAGAAATATTTATGTGAAATTTCAACCCTCTAGCTCTTTCCATTGGGACTATATCGTGCTTTCAACAGACAGACAGACGGACGGACGGACAGACATGGCTAGATCGTCTTAGAATTTAATGAGGACCCAGCATATATATACTTTTGTGGGACTATGACCAATATTTCGATGTGTTACAAACGGAATGACAAAATCAATATACCCCCATCTTTTTAGATGGTGGGTATAAAAGTTATACTTTGGTATAAAAATTTAAATGTATCAGTGTTATCTACCTAGGGATTTAATAAAATTTGTCGTTTTTTATCGCTTATATAAGTAAACAAAACCAGATGTTTATGTTTTGTTTGACAAATTTAAATTGAAAAATAAATTAAAAAGAAAAAATATTTTTGTAAATTTTTTTTTTTTTTTTTTTTTTGTAAAAAACTTTTTATGAATGAAAATTGCATCTAAATTATGAAATATCCAGTAATAGTATATAATTGATATTAGACGGCATATGGTATCCAATAACTAAAGGCCTGTTAATAAAGTTTTATTTAAAATTTCACGTGAACTAACTAGAGTCTATATTATTTTATACAAATGAAAAAAATGTTGCTGAAATGTTGTTAGAAACATTTCACATGTTTTTCAAAAATACAAGCAGAGTACTAATTCAGCAACATTTTTCCATAAAATTTTCATTACAATTTTTTTTTGTATGAAGTTTTTAAAAATTTCACGTGAAATTTTGAATAGAATACCAAGCTTTAGGAAAAAATTAATACTACTTAAGAATGTCAATCCCTCTCCTGATGCCCGCATCTTTATTCTCTCACCATGGCTTTGAAAATATTAGTTACCAGATAACAACCTTTCACCATCGTTATATTAAAACAATAACAATAAAAACATTTCTAAATAATGTTTTTTTTTTGTCTAAATTTTGATAAACACTGTAAATAATTGTTTGTTTATTTTCTACTTTATAGGTTTGTATATTACCCTAGACACGTTCTAATCGCGTTAATATTATATACATATTTCATTTTATTATTTTGTTCTTTTTTTTATCAGCCCTTTCACATTTCTAGCGACTCAAGCCATATTTCAGTTTCATTTAGTTTTTCAATATAATCACATCGTTTAAAATGTCTTTGGATACGGAATCGAATCTAGATATTTTGATTGAATTTAAAAAAGATACTTTAAAATCTTTACTAAATCTTCTGAAGAATGAATTACCTCATAAAATACGTCAATATAATTTCTTATTAAGTTATTTGTATCATTATGATAAGTTAAATCAAAATCGTGATAAATTAATTTCGGATCGTTGGAATGTTAGATTTTATGGTCATCGTTATGGACAACTTGAGAATTGTACGATAGTTACAATCAATGGAAGTAAGGTAAGATTTTGAGATAAAATATTATCATTATCCAATAATCTCAAACAACATCATGGCCTTAACATAACAATGTACAAGTTGTGCAGGTCATAATTTTAGAATTTTAACTCATTTTCATTAAATTCTTTAATTCTCCTTCTATTAGGATTTCGTTATAACTGCCTTTACACTGGAGAAATCAAGAACGGAATTAAAAGAATGTTTACGCAAAACCAAATTAATTAATTGGGAAACAAAAAGTCTTAACATCATGTGCGATGAATCTGTATTCAAGGCAGTCAATGAAGTGGTTTGCGAAAAGGACACAAATTGGACGTATCTGCCTTTGGAAAATGTTCTACATATAAGTAAAGAGAAAATAAGACAATTGTCCACTGATAGGTATGTTCACACATAAATTTTAATTTGGAGAAACACAACAGTATCCCCACGACATTTTAAGTACTTTTTATAGCCTACACCATTATAATGGGGAAGGTATTATGCGTTTGTGCTGATGTTTATAACACCTAAAATATTGGTCCCACCTTAAAGTATACAAATCGGCTCAGAATCACTTTCTGAGTCGATTTGGCTGTTCGTCTGTCTGTCTGTCTGTCTGTCCGTCTATGTGTCCATGTAAACCTTGCGCGCACTCTACAGGTCGCAATTTTTAACATAATTTGTCTTATACTCTTCTTTTGACCCAAGACGAAGTCTATCGAAAATTATTAAAATCGGTCCATTATTTCGTATAGTCCCCTAAGTAGTCCATAGACTAGTAAGTAAATCAGCGAATATACTAATCAATAGACTCATCCATGGACACACCAATTGACTAGTGCATAAACTAAAGTAATAGACAATTCTGTATATTAGTCAATAGACAAAGCACTTAGATTATTCAAAGACAAGTCCATAATCTAGGGAATAAACTAATGGTCAATAAACTAGTTTATGGACCATATTTCCATATACAAGATAATAGACAAGATCACATACTAAGTACTTTTTATAGCCTACACCATTATAATGGGGAGGGTATTATGCGTTTGTGCTGATGTTTATAACACCCAAAAATATTGGTCCCACCTTAAAGTATACCAATCGGCTCAGAATCACTTTCTGAGTCGATTTAGCTGTTCGTCTGTCTGTCCGTCCGTCTGTGTGTCCATGTAAACCTTGTGCGCACTCTACAGGTCGCAATTTTTAACATAATTTGTCTTATACTATTCTTTTGACCCAAGACGAAGCCTATCTAAAATTTTTAAAATCGGTCCATTATTTCGTATAGTCCCCTAAGTAGTCCATAGACAAGTAAGTAAATCAGCGAATATACTAATCAATAGACTCTTCCATGGACACACCAATAGTGCATAAACTAAAGTAATAGACAATTCTGTATATTAGACAATAGACAAAGTACTTAGACTAGTCAAAGACAAGTCCATAATCTAGGGAATAAACTAATCGATGGACTAGTCAATAAACTAGTTCATTGACCATATGTCCATATACTAGACAATTCACAGACTAGTCTAATAGTCTTACAAATTTACGAGAAAATAGTGTAGTCTATAATAGACTATTCATGTACTAGTGAAAAGATCAGTCCATAGACTACTAAAAAATACTATGCACTAGTATACTACTAGTCCTTTGACTAAACCCTGGGGAAAACGTCCTTTATAATCTAATGTGAACCCAGAATATATATATTCTTGTCTACGAATAATTATTTTATCATCATTTATCATATTTTGACTGTGGGCCTAGCAATGTATGTCTTGTTAAATTCATTTATTATTTTTTTAATCACTTTTATCATTTTAAACAAATTTAAAAAAAAAATAGGAAAAATTCTATAATAAAAGTAAAGTTAATTATAAATGTTAGATTAGATTTAGTTTACTAGCAAAGCTAGCTATAACGAATACCAAAGCAAATCAGAATACCAAAAATGCAGAAAACACAAATTTGATAATAATATATTTTCTAATATTTTATTTAAACAGTAATTTACCTGAAGATTTATACTTAGCCCCCTTGGATCCCGAAAAACATGCAAAAATCATGGATGATCATTGGGACTATAAAGCAGAAAACTCATTGCAATTAATTCGACAGTCCATTGAGTTAAATGGTGGCATTGGTATATTTCGCCAGGGTGTTGAGCAACCGATATGTTGGATATCTACAAATGAATTTCTTACACCAGGGTAAACTTCTTTGCATATATCATACATAGTTATTTAGTCACATAATAAACATATTAATCATCTTTCAGTTTCCTACATACCTTGCCGGCGGAACGGAAAAAAGGCTATGCTGCTTTAATTATGAAAATGGAACTGAAACGTTTATTATCGATCCATAATACCGATTTATTTTCATTTGTTTGTATTGAAAATACCCCTTCATTGGCACTGCACTACAAATTGGGTTTTGAAACTGTTAATAGAGTGACGTGGATACAGAAATGCAATTAAACGATTATAGAATATAAGTTTTAAATGTAGCAGACTTTTATAAATTTGTTATTGATATTTTTTAATTGTTAAACATTTGATAAACCCTAATGTGATGACGAAAGGTTAAACGCCAAAGATCAAATAAACATAATAAATTTATAAGAAAATTACAAACATATTTTTATTTGTTTAAATTAGTTAATTATATATATTAATTTGTTTATAATTTTTTTAATGACATGATATGCTTGCTATTGCTCTCCGATAGGTTTTTGTGATCGGTTTAAAAATGTAAAAATAATAATTATTTTCACTCCCTGGTGACATCACATATTCATGGCCAATTCATATTACCTCCGAAAGAAATAATTATAGCTTCAAAATATGGCAAAATTGTAATATTTTTATATGAATGAATTCAATGATAATTTATCCTTAAATTCGTATTAATTAATAAATGAGATTTTGCCATTTTATAAAGTTCCAAATAAGAATATTGATGTTATATCTACAAATACTTCCCAACTCTGTAAGTTAATTTATAAGATGCCTTAAAGTAGCTCTAAATTTTGTACATAAACTGTAATTAACAGCAACAGTTATTTAGCATAAAAACACACGGTAAAAATTATCTGTGTTAAATTTAGAAAATATATTTGTACTGTATAATATAGTGTAGTCTATAGTCTAGTCTAGTTTATATTCCAGTCTATCGTCTTCTATATAATCTAGTTCATAGTCTTGTCCATAGTCTAGTCTAGTAGTCTAGTCTATAGTGCCTAGTCTATAGTCTAGTCTATAGTCTAGTCTATAGTCTAGTCTATAGTCTGAGTCCTATAGTCCTAGTATAGTCTAGTCTATAGTCTAGTCTATAGTCTAGTCTATAGGCTAGTCTATGTCATGTCTAGTCCTAGTCATAAGTCATCCTATAGTCTAGTCTATAGTCTAGTCTATGTCAGTCTAGTCTATATAGTCCTAGTTATAGTCTAGTCTATGTCTAGTCTATAGTCTAGGTCTATAGTCTAGGTCTATAGTCTAGTCTATAGTCTAGTCTATAGTCTAGTCTATAGTCTAGTCTATAGTCTAGTCTATAGTCTAGTCTATAGTCTAGTCTATAGTCTAGTCTATAGTCTAGTCTATAGTCTAGTCTATAGTCTAGTCTATAGTCTAGTCTATAGTCGTCTATAGTCTAGTCTATAGTCTAGTCTATAGTCTAGTCTATAGTCTAGTCTATAGTCTAGTCTATAGTCTAGTCTATAGTCTAGTCTATAGTCTAGTCTATAGTCTAGTCTATAGTCTAGTCTATAGTCTAGTCTATAGTCTAGTCTATAGTCTAGTCTATAGTCTAGTCTATAGTCTAGTCTATAGTCTAGTCTATAGTCTAGTCTATAGTCTAGTCTATAGTCTAGTCTATAGTCTAGTCTATAGTCTAGTCTATAGTCTAGTCATAGTCTAGTCTATAGTCTAGTCTATAGTCTAGTCTATAGTCTAGTCTATAGTCTAGTCTATAGTCTAGTCTATAGTCTAGTCTATAGTCTAGTCTATAGTCTAGTCTATAGTCTAGTCTATAGTCTAGTCTATAGTCTAGTCTATAGTCTAGTCTATAGTCTAGTCTATAGTCTAGTCTATAGTCTAGTCTATAGTCTAGTCTATAGTCTAGTCTATAGTCTAGTCTATAGTCTAGTCTATAGTCTAGTCTATAGTCTAGTCTATAGTCTAGTCTATAGTCTAGTCTATAGTCTAGTCTATAGTCTAGTCTATAGTCTAGTCTATAGTCTAGTCTATAGTCTAGTCTATAGTCTAGTCTATAGTCTAGTCTATAGTCTAGTCTATAGTCTAGTCTATAGTCTAGTCTATAGTCTAGTCTATAGTCTAGTCTATAGTCTAGTCTATAGTCTAGTCTATAGTCTAGTCTATAGTCTAGTCTATAGTCTAGTCTATAGTCTAGTCTATAGTCTAGTCTATAGTCTAGTCTATAGTCTAGTCTATAGTCTAGTCTATAGTCTAGTCTATAGTCTAGTCTATAGTCTAGTCTATAGTCTAGTCTAGTCTAGTCTATAGTCTAGTCTATAGTCTAGTCTATAGTCTAGTCTATAGTCTAGTCTATAGTCAGTCTATAGTCTAGTCTATAGTCTAGTCTATAGTCTAGTCTATAGTCTAGTCTATAGTCTAGTCTATAGTCTAGTCTATAGCTAGTCTATAGTCTATAGTCTAGTCTATAGTCTAGTCTATAGTCTAGTCTATAGTCTAGTCTATAGTCTAGTCTATAGTCTAGTCTATAGTCTAGTCTATAGTCTAGTCTATAGTCTAGTCTATAGTCTAGTCTATAGTCTAGTCTATAGTCTAGTCTATAGTCTAGTCTATAGTCTAGTCTATAGTCTAGTCTATAGTCTAGTCTATAGTCTAGTCTATAGTCTAGTCTATAGTCTAGTCTATAGTCTAGTCTATAGTCTAGTCTATAGTCTAGTCTATAGTCTAGTCTATAGTCTAGTCTATAGTCTAGTCTATAGTCTAGTATAGTTAGTCTATAGTCTAGTCTATAGTCTATATAGACTATAGTCTAGTCTATAGTCTATACAGACTATAGTCTAGTCTATATTCTAGTCTATAGTCTAGTCTATATTCTAGTCTATAGTCTAGTCTATAGTCTAGTCTATAGTCTAGTCTATAGTCTAGTCTATAGTCTAGTTTATATTCTAGTCTATAGTCTAGTTTATATTCTAGTCTATAGTCTAGTCTATAGTCTAGTCTATAGTCCAGTCTATAGTCTAGTCTATAGTCTAGTCTATAGTCTAGTCTATAGTCTAGTCTATAGTCTAGTCTATAGTCTAGTCTATAGTCTAGTCTATAGTCTAGTCTATAGTCTAGTCTATAGTCTATATAGACTATAGTCTAGTCTATAGTCTATACAGACTATAGTCTAGTCTATATTCTAGTCTATAGTCTAGTCTATATTCTAGTCTATAGTCTAGTCTATAGTCTAGTCTATAGTCTAGTCTATAGTCTAGTCTATAGTCTAGTCTATAGTCTAGTCTATAGTCTAGTCTATAGTCTAGTCTATAGTCTAGTCTATAGTCTAGTCTATAGTCTAGTCTATAGTCTAGTCTATAGTCTAGTCTATAGTCTAGTCTATAGTCTAGTCTATAGTCTAGTCCTATAGTCTAGTCTATAGTCTAGTCTATAGTCTAGTCTATAGTCTAGTCTATAGTCTAGTCTATAGTCTAGTCTATAGTCTAGTCTATAGTCTAGTCTATAGTCTAGTCTATAGTCTAGTCTATAGTCTAGTCTATAGTCTAGTCTATAGTCTAGTCTATAGTCTAGTCTATAGTCTAGTCTATAGTCTAGTCTATAGTCTAGTCTATAGTCTAGTCTATAGTCTAGTCTATAGTCTAGTCTATAGTCTAGTCTATAGTCTAGTCTATAGTCTTGTCTATAGTCTAGTCTATAGTCTAGTCTGTAGTCTAGTCTATAGTCTAGTATATAGTCTAGTCTATAGTCTAGTCTATAGTCTAGTCTGTAGTCTAGTCTATAGTCTAGTCTATAATCTAGTCTATAGTCTAGTCTATAATCTAGTCTACAGTCTATTCTATAATCTAGTCTATAGTCTAGTCTATAGTCTAGTCTAGTTTAGTCTAGTCTAGTCTATGGTCTAGTCTATGGTCTAGTCTATAGTCTAGTCTGTAGTCTAGTCTGTAGTCTAGTCTATAGTCTAGTCTATAGTCTAATCTATAGTCTAGTCTATAATCTAGTCTATAGTCTAGTCTATAGTCTAGTCTATAGTCTAGTCTATAGTCTAGTCTATAGTCTAGTCTATAGTCTAGTCTATAGTGTAGTCTATAGTCTAGTCTATAGTCTAGTCTATAGTCTAGTCTATAGTCTAGTCTATAGTCTAGTCTATAGTCTAGTCTATAGTCTAGTCTATAGTCTAGTCTATAGTCTAGTCTATAGTCTAGTCTATAGTCTAGTCTATAGTCTAGTCTATAGTCTAGTCTATAGTCTAGTCTATAGTCTAGTCTATAGTCTAGTCTATAGTCTAGTCTATAGTCTAGTCTATATCTAGTCTATAGTCTAGTCTATAGTCTAGTTATAGTCTAGTCTATAGTCAAGTCTATAATCTAGTCTATAGTCTAGTCTATAGTCAGTCTATATGTCCAAGTCTATTTTCTAGTCTATAGTCTATAGTCTATTCTATAGTGTAGTCTACAGTGTAGTCTATAGTCTGGTCTATAGTCTAGTCTATAGTCTAGCCTATAGTCTCTCTACAGTCTAGTCTATAGTCTAGTCTATAGTCTAGTCTGTAGTCTAGTCTATAGTCTAGTCTATAGTCTATAGTCATCGTCTAGTCTATAGTCTAGTCTATCTCTAGTCTATAGTCTAGTCTTAGTCTGTTCTATAGTCTGTCTTAGTCTATCTATCTGTACTATATTCTAGTCTATATCTAGTCTCTATCTAGTCTATAGTCTAGTCTATGGTCTAGTCTATAGTCTAGTCTGTAGTCTAGTCTAAAGTCTAGTCTACAGTCTATATAGTCTAGTCTATAGTCTAGTCTATAGTCTAGTCTATAGTCTAGTCTATAGTCTAGTCTATAGTCTAGTCTATAGTCTAGTCTATAGTCTAGTCTATAGTCTAGTCTATAGTCTAGTCTATAGTCTAGTCTATAGTCTAGTCTATAGTCTAGTCTATAGTCTAGTCTATAGTCTAGTCTATAGTCTAGTCTATAGTCTAGTCTATAGTCTAGTCTATAGTCTAGTCTATAGTCTAGTCTATAGTCTAGTCTATAGTCTAGTCTATAGTCTAGTCTATAGTCTAGTCTATAGTCTAGTCTATAGTCTAGTCTATAGTCTAGTCTATAGTCTAGTCTATAGTCTAGTCTATAGTCTAGTCTATAGTCTAGTCTATAGTCTAGTCTATAGTCTAGTCTATAGTCTAGTCTATAGTCTAGACTATAGTCTAGTCTATAGTCTAGTCTATAGTCTAGTCTATAGTCTAGACTATAGTCTAGTCTATAGTCTAGTCTATAGTCTAGTCTATAATCTAGTCTAGTCTATAGTCTAGTCTATAGTCTAGTCTATAGTCTAGTCTATAGTCTAGTCTATAGTCTAGTCTATAGTCTAGTCTATAGTCTAGTCTATAATCTAGTCTATAGTCTAGTCAGTAGTCTAGTCAGTAGTCTAGTCT